GGCGCGCATCAGCGCATGGCGCATGAGTAGCGCGCGCATGCGCATATAGCGCACCTATGCGCCATGCGCGCGGTGCGCGCGCACCAGCCATGTGCGCATGGCGCAGCACACAAATGCGCCGCAAGTATGCTATTTAGTACTTACCAGACAGATCTACATCCAATTTTATTATTATTATTTTTATTTTTATTTTTTTAAACACAACCTTATGGTTCTGGCTCCTTTTCCATTCTGGGGAGCATCAGTCCGGTTCCTATTCCCCCGGCAAGTCCAAGATAGTACAATGGTTACTCACTCACGCTCCTCCCCCTTATGGCGTGGAGGCCCAGAAGACGGCATTGATTATGATCTACATCCAATTTACTATCGCAAAGTTGTCAAATTACTGCACACTGTACTCCTGGACATCCATTGGCCCCTGCACAAGGATGACACACATAAATCAAGAAATGGTCCAAATTCACCATTAAAAAAAAAAAAAAAAAAAAAAAAAAAAAAGCTCTACCCTCAGAAATCATAAGCACCGTATTGAGCTACGCTATGTGCTTCTCAAGAATCTCCACAGGCACACGAGTGGAAAGTTGGAAACAAAAGGGGCCTAGTAAAAAACAAAAAGGGAGCCCTAGAGGGCCAGCACCCTAGCTCGGCTGGTTGAGCACACAAGTGGTAATCAGGAGGTCGCAGGTTCGATTCGCGACGGCATCCATTTGGCTTCCCATGGCCCCTGCACAAGGATGACACACATAAATCAAGAATTGGTTCAAATTTACCATTAAAAAAAAAAGCTCCACCCTCAGAAATCATCAGCACTGTATTTAAGCTACGCTGTATGCTTCTCAACAGGCACACGAGTGGAAAGTTGGAAACAAAAGGGGCCTAGTAAAAAACAAAAAGGGAGCCCCCTGTTGCACACTTCAGGCTCACCACCTGAGATAGACGGTTCGCCCCCCCCTCGTAGGACTATGCATCCACACTAGGGGCTTGGATGGGTACTGCTCCCTGCACAGAGCAGAGTAGACTCAACCCCAAGGGGATAGGCCCAAGCCGCTCAACCCATAACTCTAGAGGTAGCTTAGTATTACCTAATAGATATGTTGGGTAGTGGTAAATAGTTCCCCGTGTAATGACCCGTCATAACACAGACTGAGAACACTGCTGATTTCTGAAGTTCTGCCGATGGAATGGATGCCTTGATGAGATTCCCGCGTTCTGCTGTGTTTTCTAAGTCTGTCTGTGTGTGTGTGTGCTTGTGACCTGCATGCCTGTCTGAGTGCTTGTTGGTATGAGTGTGTGTGGGACCCACAAGGGCACTTGCTTGTTTGGTAGGCCCGTAGGGCCGGTACTTACCTGTGGCCGTGGCCTTGAGGGTTGTAGCAGGGAAAACACTCAAGTGGCGAAGCTAGCGGCCCTGAGGCCCTTGGGGTAGCGGAAAAACACTCAAGTAGGCCGGTAGGCCAATACTGCACCCAACTGCGGTGGACGTGAGGGGTACTGGAGGCCGAGCAGAAAAAGACAAAGTTGGCATTTTTAGAGTCCAGTAGCGGTAGGGTAGGTCTAGGCCAGTACCAGTCCAACCAGTCTGAGTCTCGAGCCTGTACGGGTAATATCAGGGTCTGCAATGATGTTTCCCTCCGAAACGGAGGAGGTACCGGTTGCTTGGAGAGGCCGAGCGGCCTGGAAGTCACCGCCCAAGAGGCAAGCAGGCCGCTATATCTAGCGGCGGAGGCAAGAGCTCCGCCTCATTCTTCAGTGTGCGAGTTGGGCGTCACGCTGCTGGAGCGCTAGGTGGAGCGCTGGGCACTACAGCGC